GTTGGGGGTTGTGTGTGTGTGGGTGTGAGGGGGAAGGTGCGAGCGAAGTAGGAATTAAGGAAGAGTGTATTGGAGTTTGTAATCCCGGCAAGGGGAATCAATAAATTATACATACCAGGTATGTAAATATGAAACCGGAACTTTTGTATAGAAAATACACGTTTATTGTATGAAAATGATAAGAAATATTTTATTCGAAGTATTGCCCATCGCTAGCTATACATTTTTTCCACCTGTCTGACAATTTGTGGATGCCACGCCAAGAAGCTGTTGCTCTTTTGAGGCAAACCAGTCATCGTGCCATTTTCGTACATTTTCGTAAGAAGTGAAGCGCTGCTCAGCAAGTGCGTGTCCCATCGATGCAAATAAGTAGTAATCGGACGGAGCCAAGTCTGGTGAGTAAGCTGCATGCGAAAGTATTTCCCAACTAAACGCCTCAATCGTTTCCTTGACCAGTTTTTCTGTGTGTGATGATGCATTATCATGAAGCAAAATCACTTTGTGTTGCCTTTTTTGATATTCTAGTCGTTTTTCACGCAAAGCTTGATTCAAATCGATCATTTGTTGTCGGTAGTGTTCAGTATTAACGATTTCGCAAGGTTTTAGCAGCTCATAATAGATCACACCCTTCTGATCCCATCAAACACAGAGCATTGTCTTCCGTCCATAGCGATTTGGCCTTGCAGTCGATGTCGATTCGCCTGGAGTTACCCATGATCTTTTACGCTTAGGATTCTCAAAATATATCCACTTTTCATCGCCAGTCACAATTCGATGGAGAAATGACTTTCTTTTGTACCTGGCGAGCAGTATTTCGCAAGTGATTTTTCGGTTTTCCTGCTGTCTTTCATTCAATTCATGTAGAACCCATTTTCCCATCTTCTGGATCTTTCCCATGGCTTTCAAACGTATGGAGACGTGTCATATTTAATTGATCCGCGAATTGTTGTTGCGTTTGAGCGTCATCCTCATCCAACAATGCTTGCAATTCGCTGTCTTCAAACTTTTTCGGTGGTCTTCCACGTTCTTCGTTTCTCACGTAAAAATCGCCACGTTGGAATTTTTTAAACCACTTAAAACACTGTGATTTACCAAGAGCATACGCACCGTAAGCTTTGACAAGCATTTGATGCGATTCTGCAGCTGTAGTTTTCTTCAAATGGTAACAGAAAATCAACGCTGTCCGCAAATCGTAGCTTCCAGGCACAAAATTCGATATGTTCAACGCTATTACAAACTGTGCTATTGTATGAAACTTGTATTGTTGTGAGTTGAAAATCTTTGTCAGATGTCAACAAATGGAAATGGCGCCAATGTCGCGGTTTGACGGTAACTACATTGACAGCTAGGGCCATCTATGAGCAAACTCCGGTTTCATATTTACAGACCTGGTACATACAATAAATATGGCCCACCCATATGAACGCTAGTCCACCTGTGACCCGCATGTTCTAGCGCCACCTATGGTTACAAACTATTTTTTTTCAAAACCATTGGAGTTATGGACTTGAATTTATTTTGACATCAAATAGAGCATGGAAACTGACTATTTAGTAAATAAAAAGATTTTTGAAGGAGGTTTTCAAGAAGACAAATGGTCTTCATTTTTTTTACATAATTTATAGAATACATAATTTATTTTTTCTTATTCGGATAGCCCTCATGAAAATTAATAACATTTATTTGTATTTGTACATTTACTTGTAATATTTCTTTTTATTTTACATCGTTAATAAATTATAAAAGGGAATTCAATTTTACTTACTGGATACATTTAGAGACATATTCTAAGTTATTTCAAAGCTACCATGTTTACAAACATATTTGGGATAGAGAAGATAACATTCTATAAGATATTAACAATTTTATGCTTAATTAGACTAAAGAAATAGATAAGTTCTCAATATTATCGTCTCCTGCGCAAATTAAATTTAAAATTGCAAATTTTAACAGAAATATGTTGATATATTATTAATGCTAGAATGTTAAAGCAACTACCGACATATTGCTGAAATATTCGTTAAAAATTTTCACATATGAAAATCGTGTATTTTTATGTTTAGAGAAATGTCTTCTAGAGAAACTGATTTTTTTATAACAAAATACATTACAAGCCAAACAATGTTATAAATAAATAATGCTATTGCAGTTTTAGCAGCAATGAATTTAAATTCACAAGTTAATATCCGGAAATTAGTACCAGATAATGGAATAAGCTATATTTCAGTTAGAACTATCATATTAGTATCATCCGTATCACATGTGTCTTTTTCATTTGCTTAGAAATGATTTTCAAAATCGAATTATTTTTTGTAGCTTCATGGTATCAATGAAGACAATTCATCTTCATTTTTAATCTTTTTTTCGACGAAACATATACCGGATGAGTCAGTTAAAGAGTTACAGACTTATATCTCGGAACGATTTTAGATAAAAATGTATCAGACAAAAATAGTATGGTTTCAAGGGTGACATAAAACAACTATATCAGTTTGTCAAATGGCACTATTTTTTAGATATTCACTGATTATTACTTTTCTTAGATGGAAACACCAATTTTTTATTATATCTTCTTTTTCTACCAATTAATTTTAACAACTATTGTCTGAAACATTTTTTTATTTACCTAATACATTTGCGATATTTAAAGAGAACTTGGTATCTTTTTCAATACTTAACTTACGATATCTCATTAATTATTTGTCGGAAGAAAAAATAGTACTATACATTTTTACTCTATTTACTCTCAAGAATATATTTTGACAATAGCGCCCTGACTTTTGTTAACTTACTGACTTTTGGAAATTTCAAAGTTATCAAATTAACAACAATTAGGACACTACTGTGACAATATATTCTTGAGATCAAATAGAGTAAAAAGTCTAGTACTATCTTATCTTCCGATAAATAGCGAGATATCATAAACTAAATATTTAAAAAGTTATCAAGATTTCCTTAAATATTTAAAAAAATTTAAGCAAATAAAAGAATGTTTCAGATAAAAGTAGTTAAAATTAATTGGTAAAAAAAGATGATATAATAAAAGATTCGGGTTTCAATTTAAGAAAAGTAATGATCAGTGAATACCTCAGTGAAATATCAGTGAAAGTGACGCTATCTATAAATAAATCGATATAGTTTTTCCTATCCACCTTGAAACCATACAATTTTTGTCTAAAGTGTTTCTTTCTAAAATATTTAGTTTTTGAAAGAAAAGGAGTGTACGAGTGGTTTTAGACACCCAGTATATATATTAAAAATCTTTTTATATGTTAAACAGTTAGCTTCTACTTAATGTAAAGTAATTCAAGTTCATAATTTTAATGATATCAGGTAAAATAGCTTATAAAAAGTTATTTGGTCCATCCTACATACTTCATCGCCAAATAACTCGATACTTATATAGGGTGTCCGAAAATTGTAACACGCCAACTCTATAGGGGCGTAAAGCTCGTCCCTAGCTGGCCCCTCCCCGTGGAGCTCATCGCTCACGAGCGGCACCTCGTATACTGGCGAGTGAAGGAGCTCCACGGGGCCGAGGAGGTGATGTCGGCCAAGGACCTAGCGACTCTGAAGTCCCAGGCCACAGCCCGGGTGATGGAGCGGTGGGAAGGTATGTTGGCCGACCTCCGTGTACCAGGGCTCCAAACGGCCGAAGCCGTCCGCCTCTGCCTTGTCGAGATGGCGAGCAGGAGAGGACGCGGGCTCACGTACCGTCTGGTGCACGTACTGACCGGCCACGGATGTTTTGACCGGTTCCTGCACCGGATCCTGAAGGAGCCCACTGCCCAATGCCACTACTGTCCAGCGCTGAAGGACACGGTGCATCACACGTCGGTCTTGTGCGAAGCATGGGACTAGCAGCGCCGTGTCCTCGATCGAGCAGTGGGATGTGCCGAGGGAGACCTCTCGCTTTCGCGCATGCCGGAGATAATGCCCGCAAGGAGACTGCCGAATGGGAGCGTCGCCTCGGTATCCGTCGTAGGTGGCGACAGGACGGGCGACGCTCCCCTAACCGCGAACCGCGAGGTGGCACCGGTCGAAGAGCCGCCCCCGATCCCTCGGGGACCGCACCGATCGCCTAGGGCTCGCCACCGTCCGCGGAGGGGGGGAGGTCTACAGGCATAAAGCCTGTCCCCCGCCCCGCGGGACGGTAAGGGAAGGAAAGGGGAGTGGGTGCCCCGGGGGACCCTGCTCCCCGCCGTCTTCGACACCGAGGGGGACTAGGAGAGAGGGCGGGTGTCCCCTCTCTCCTGTTAGAAAACTAGGTTGGCTAACCTGACCGGGCAACTTGCTCTGACGGGGCGTCGCGCCTCTCCCTACGTGGAAGGGCGCGGCACTTGGGCGAGGGGCTCCACCAGAGCCCCAGGGCCGGGGTGTCGGGGAGGGAATGTTAGAGCAGTTGCCCAACTCCCTCATTCCGGCCCGCCTGGTAAGCATCCCGGGGGGATTTTAACCAGTAAGAGTCCGGCATAACCCCGCCGCTTTCCCCAAGGGGAGCGGAGTATCCAAGAGGATTTCCCCCCGTTAACAAAAAAAAGGGGCGTAAAGATAAGCAAGAGAAACGAAAAAGCTGTTCCATTTAGTGATATGTTGTATAGCTTTTTAGTAATAACCGCGTAAAGTTTGGCGTTTGTCATCACGGCTTATAGGCGCTCCGCAAGCTGTATGAGTCAAAGCTGAGCGATAACGCGTCTCGCACTGACCGTCGCGATGGCGTCTTGGCGCTTTGACACCGCGCAACGGTCAGCGCAAATCGCGTTACCCATTACGCTCAGCCTCGGCGCACGCAGCTCGCCACAGAGCGTCTATAGGCCGTGCCAAACACCAAACTTTACGCGGTTATTACTAAAAAACTATATGACATATCACTAAATGAAATAGGACTTTTTTGTTCCTTTCGCTTAACTCTATGTCCCTATAGAGTTGGTGTGTTACAATTTTGAAACACCCTGTATATCTTTTAATACTTATATATCTTTTAATTTAAACATGATTACCTCGAAATAATCGTAACGTTGTAAGGGAACACATGGCTCAAGCACCGTCGAATTTAATTGAAAAGGTTGTGGACATGGGTCACCTTCATACCACACAAATACTTGCTTCTGTATTGCATCGGGTAATATATCAGTTGCGTTTGTGATTACGTTCCAAAATGTAGTATGACGAATTTCTTCAATTTCATTTCTCGTGAAAATGCTAACAAACAAAGTTATTAGTTTAAAATTAGAGAACAGAGAAAATTAATACAATTAATTTATCCGCTTATGTACATAATCTTACATAGGATGTCTAAAAAATTTTGAATCAACCATATAGGGTGTTTCATTTTATGTGATATGGTCGATTATCTCGTAAATTGATGATTTTATTGAAAAATTTTTCGAACGAAAGTTGTATGACTTGAAGGGGGATACATGATGGAAATGTGGACCTTGAGTGACCTCGTCAAAATCAGGTTAAGGTCATTAATGTTTTCTTAAATGGAAACCTCTATTTTTTATTGCATATTATTGTAGCTTATCTCTTTCCAAAACACTATAATAAAGTTCTGTTTCATTGAGTATTTTCCGAGTTATGAGGCTTGAAAGTTAAGGCAAGACCGATCACTGATCCGGCCAATTAAGGCAAGACTTATCAACGGCTAAAGATATATTCGAATTGATCTTGCCTTAATTGGTCGAATCAGTGATCGGTCTTGCCTTAGTTGGCCGAATCAGTGATTGGTCTTACCATAGTTGGCCGAATCAGTGATCGCTCTTGCCTTAACTTTCAAGCCTCATAACTCCGAAAATATTCAATAAAACGTAAGTTTATTATAGTGTTTTGAAGAGTTCTCGAGATAAGCTACAAAAATATGTAATAAAAATAGGGATTTCCATAAAAAAAAACATTAATGACCTCGACATGATTTTGACAAGATTACTCAAGGTCAAGTCCATATTTCCATCATGTGTCTCCCTTCAAGCCATGCAACTTTTGTTCGAAAAAATTTTCAATAAAATCATCGATTCGTGAGATAATCAACCATATCTTAAATTGAAACACCCTGTATAAGTAGAGCAGATGAAATTGAACAATAAAGTTATATAAAATTTTATAAGAGTCGCTATAGTTATTAAATTATTAATTATAACGTCTGGATACGAGAAACAGTAGGCCAGACTCTACAGAAAAATACATGCAGATTGCAAGGTACGGTGATCATCTTTTGTTTATGATCGTCGTCTACAACAATCATTCGACGTTACATGAAGTTAGCCCCATCTTTTTTGAAAATTATATTCATGAAAGTTGTTCCAGTTTATTCTAACTTCGTACTACATTATTCCAAAGGAATATTATATTATTTCAAACAGTTTTCCAATAAAACGAGAAAAACCATCCTTTAGTTAGCCCCATCTTTCTAAAAAATCGAACATTTCTTTATCGTTACAGATTGTTCTATTTGTCCCAAACATTGTTTCAGAAGTACAATTCCGTAAGTCGAACCGGAAGCCCAGCAAATAAAAGAAATTTTTGACATACGAATATTCTTCGACCAAGAGTAAACATACCTTTCCCTTCATATCTTAATCGACAGCTTTTTGTTCTGGGTTGTTCTAGGCTTAGATAACATAGTTCTATGATATAAATCTCGAATCATCCTACACATCTCACCAAATTTGAGAAAATCGATTTTTTAATGGTCACCGTCGAGAGTAAATATACTTTTCCTTTTGTGTTCCAATCAACAGTTTTTTGTTCTGAGTTGTTCTAAGCCTAGGTAACATAGTTTTATGGTATGAATCTCGCATCATTTATAGTTCTCTCAAAATTGAAAAACGATCGAATTTTTAATGATCAATGTCGAGAATAAACATATTCTCTCCTTCATGTTCTACTCAATAGTTTTTTCTTCTGAGTCGTTCTGGGCGTTATGAAAGATAGATTCTTTAAATTTATCGTATACGCATACCGCAGCGAGAATTTGCAAAATGTTATCAAAGCTACATGTATCTTTGACAATTATGTTATTAGATCCTACTTTTAAAACAGGTAAAATATTGCCATTTTATAACACTTATAGCGGAACATGTTTTTACAAAACCTGTCTTTCACAATGCCTAGAACGACTTAGAAGAAAAAGCTATCGATTAAAACATAAAAGGGAGAATATGTTTATTCTCGACGTTGATCATTAAAAATTCGATGTTCTTCCAATTTGAAGAGAACCATAGATGATACAAGATTCATACCATAGAACTATGTTACCTAGGCTTAGGAAAACTCAGAACAAAAAGCTGTCGATTGGAACACGAAAGGAAAGGTACGTTTACTCTTGACGGTGATAGTTAAAAAACCGATTTTCTCAAATTTTGTGAGATTCGTAGATGATATAAGATTCATACTATAGAATTATGTTATCTAGGCCTAGAACAAGCCAGAACAAACAGCTGCCGATTGGAACATAAAAGGAAGGGTATGTTTACCCTTGGTCAGAGAGTATTCATATGTCGAAAATATTTTCGTATGCTGGGCTACCAGTTCGACTTACGGAATAATATTTCTGAAACAATGTTTGGAACAACTAGAACAATCTGTAACGATAAAAAATGTTTGATTTTTGAAAAAGGTGGGGTCAGCTAAAAAAAGTTTTTCTCGTTTTATTGGAGAACTGTTTGAAATAAAATAATATCGCATTGGAAAAATATAATACAGAATTAGAACAACCTAAACAATTTTCAAAAATATAATTTTCAAAAAAGGTGAAGCTAACTTCATGTACACTGATCTGATATATCTTCAGTCATATGAAATTGTTTGATATATCGTGTTCCTCTGTAACAAAAAATGAAATTTACTCCAAAAGAGTATACTGATATGATTAGTGCACTGATATGAGTTAGTGCATGTTGAAGATGAGGAAAGGAACTTATGTGTTGACTCATCTCATGCAATCAGTTGATTGTTTTTGCCGCGAGTATTCAGAAATAAGTCATTTATCTTGTTCATTGCTTTTACTAGGTGCTCAACTAAGTTTCCGGGTTTCACACATGGATGGCGTTAACGACACATGTAGTCGACATACATGTCTAAAGTTATGTTTTTTTATAGCTTGGACAACTGTTAACAATAACCAGTCGTAATACCAACATATATCGCAACGCAAAAATATATTTTCGAATAACGAAGATGTCGAGTTTTGTGCCAAATAAACAGCATTTGCGGGAAGCTTAACTTTTCTGCTTTAACTTGAAAAAAAGTGCAGCTGAAGCACATCATTTGCTTGAGGAGGCCTACGGCAACCATGCACCATCGAAAACTACCTGTGAAGATTGGTTTAAACGCTTCAGAAGTGGCGATTTCGACACTGAAGACAAGAAGCGCTCCGGAAGACCAAAAACAATTGAGGACGCCGATTTGCAAGCGTCATTGGATGAAGATGATACGCAAACACAAGATCAACTTGTGGAGGCATTAAACATGACTCGCTAAGATATTTCCAAACGTTTACATGCCATGGGAAAAATTCAAAAGGAAGGAAAATGGGTACCGCATGAGTTGACTGAGAGACAGATGAAAAATCGAAGAGCCACTTCCGAAATTTTGCTTTTGCGGCATGAAAGAAAGAGTTTCCTGCATCGAATTGTTACTGGCGATGAGAAGTGGATATATTTCGAGAATCCCAAACGCAAAATATCGTGGCTTTCACCTGGTGAAGCATCAACATCGACGGCACGGCCAAATCACTTCGGAAAGAAGATAATGCTCTGCGTTTGGTGGGACCAGAAAGGAATCGTGTACTATGAGCTACTGAAAAGAAGCCGGGCGAAACTATCAATGGGCATCGCTACCGACAACAACTGATCAATTTGAACCATGCATTGCTCGAGAAACGGCCAGAATAGGACACGAGACATGAACGAGTGATATTGCAGCATGATAATGCTCCGCTTGCCATCGCACTTTCATCGTCCAGGACACCATGAAAACGCTGAAATGGGATCTGCTATCGCACCCGCCGTATTCGGCAGATCTGGTCCCTTCCGATTATCACTTGTTCCGGTCGATGGCGCATGGCTTGGCTGGGCAACATTTGGCCAATTTCGGAGAAGTGCAAAATTGGTTGGATGAAAGGTTTCGGTCCAAAGACGCGTCGTTTCATCGTCGCGGTATTCATGTATTGCCAAAGAGATGGTAAAAATGTAGCTAGCGAGGGACGATACTTTGAATAAACCATTTTTTGTATTTCTCTTGAAATTTTCCATTTTTCATTGATCAAAAAAACCTGGAAACTTAGTTGCGCACCTAGTATACTTCTTTCGAGGTCTACCGTTTCCTGTGCGCTCAGATATTTTAATTAATAACTCAATAATTATTACAATTCTTAGAAAATTTTTTTATGACTTATTGTTCAATTTCACCTATTCTATCTGGTTGGTACAAACTGGTTGGTCCAAAATTTCTCAGACATTGTGTAATTATATGTGTGTATGTATGTATACAGGGTGTTTCTGAATGGTCTGTACAAACTATCAAGGTATATTCCAGGAATCAAAACAAGCAGAAAATGTTATATGAACATGGGGTCGAAAACGTTTGCTTAAAAAGTTATGACGATTCGAAATTTTCCTGCAGTAGAAGAAGAATTACGACAATTCAAAGAACCGTCTTAAGAAAAATATACTCTTTTCAACATCAGATTCGAACAGTTCTTGAACAGTTCTTAAAGCACCATTGTTGGCTGTTACTGGCCTGAATTGCCCAATTTCTCATAATCGCCAATTAACTGCTGAACATTTGGTTTGGAATTCGACGGCATGGGGTTTCTTGCTATATTCGAGCTTTTCATTTGCTTTTTTGTTTTGTTTTGTTTTGAAGTAAGACTATGTAATTTGACGTGATAAGTTCTTTAGTTATTAGAAAATTTCAAAACATTGTAACTCCAAAAGCAAGCATTTCAGTTGAAAGTATTCTGCAAAGCTCGTTTGTAAGCCTATTTTAAAAGCATGAATGAATATTCATTTGAAGAATTGGCGGATATCTATCTGATGTATGACCGTGCCGATGGAAATGGATTCTCTTCGTCAGCAGATCCTGGATAGCTTCGACATCATCCGTAATATACTTGGTATTTTCCAACGGGTTCGCCAATCAATACGGCGACGTGCACAGGCTTCCTTGGAATCTAACGGAGGTCATTTTGAGCATTTGCTGTAGCAAGTGTATTGTCTTATTATATCTGTAGAAATAAATA